ATAGGGTGACTTTCTTTTTTATTGCAGACCCTAGACCAAAACGAGCACTTAACCCTTGTAGTGTGGGGGTAGAAAGGAGAAGTAGGTGACAATATAACCCGACAGTCTAAAAACTCCTGTGTCCCTCAATGGGTGATAAAGGAAATAAGATTTGTGTACCTTGCCATAAAAACCTAACAGAATTCTAACAATTCCATTGTCCCTCAATGGACAATAAAGAGGACATATTATACAAGGACAAGGCACTTTGTCCTGATTTGTGTCCATATGTACTATAGACCTCCCTGTCTTTAAAGTCAACAGCCTTTACTCAGTGAGACTTTACTATTGCAACACTGGTATAAACTGGTTGTGAGTGAGAAGACTCGCTTGGTGATTGCTGGTGCTGTTGGTAGTGCATCGGGACTGTAGGTAAATTAACAAGGAAACATCAGAGGGCAGTTGGATGTGACAGTGCAATCCAAAGGCCTTCCAGGAACTGAATATCTAAATAATACAGAGCACTCCATATATCTGTAAGGTCACATCACCTGCAATGATCCCTAAAATGATCCCCAAGCACTTGAAGGACATAGAGAAAACTTGTTATAGACAACTCAAGGATTATCTAACCTGCTGCAAAATGTTTACAAAATTAGGTCCCATCCTGTTATGCACTGCCTCAGTTCACATACAATGATACACACCCAAATCTTAGCATCTCCCCAGAGGAACCATCAATCAATTGCTGTTCTTAGGCTCACCTGTCTCAGGGTCACAAGAGTCACTGTGGCCATTACATGTACAAAGCACACAGGGACTGTAAGGACCAAGGTTAGGGTTCTCTCGTCGGTAGCCAGGAGCACAGCTTTCACAGAACTGTCCAATATATCCAACAGGACAGCTGCAAACCTCCACCCAAGGTGCCAAATCACCAGAACCGGGTTGTGCTGTTACCAAGGTAACCTCCTCGAGAAAACCAGCACCTGCACAAAAGAGGAAATAAAAAAAAAAAGGTCAATAACCTTGAAGATTAAACAGAGAAGTTCCAAATGAAGTTGTGGAGTTACTTTTGCAGGCTTAGCAACCAGACTCTGTCAAGCTGCTGTCATTGAATAACTTGCAGCACGCTTGGCAAGTAATATAAGCTCCTCAATAGCCAAGAGCCCCAGGTTGCCTGATCCTTTAGTAGTGCATTTAAAATCCACTTTCCACGGCTGTCCGTTCCCCCGCAAAAGAACAATACATGATAACTACATGAAGGAGGGCTGAAGACTGGTCTTTAATGCCAGCAGCTTTTTCCACAGGGATTTCACTTATCAAACACACAGAAATGGTGCCCATTTAAATGATGTGATAAATTGAGCAAGACGTAGCTATGAATAATCTGCATTTCACTAGCAGATAAAGACATGGTACTATAGTGGACAACACCATGCTACAACCCCTTTTTAAAGCCAATAAAGCAGGTTAATGGAGGATGATTCCTGGCAGCTGCTGCACTATACTGTGGAAAGAATAAAACATTACCATGTACCGTCTTCTACTTTAAGTATACAAAATCATTGACTAAAGAAGAAAAAAAAAAACATTGGTCCAACATTAAGAGACTGGCCCTATTTGAGACCACAGATTGCAGCTGTAAGAGAAGTTTTTGTAATCTTACTTTTTTCACTATATGTTCCTCTGATTTTGATGGCAGTCAGATTTTGCAGCATTTTCTGGAACTCAAATGGTGATACAGATGGCCTCCATGGATAGTCTGTAGCCTCATGCAACCTGAAAACATCATATCACATCATCATAGGGGTCCAATAAACTGAAATCAACTGCAGTGAAACACTACTTTCTGTGAAAACTGATGTCTTACATACTTGTAATACTGAAAAATATCAATGACAGCACTTCCCAGAACAAACTGTTCAAATGACTCAAAAATGAGAAAGTCCTAGAACGTACCATAAATGTTAATGTGTACGTAAATCGTAACAATGAACATCTCTTATTTTGATTAATTTTGGTCTGTTAAGTATCCCATTGAAAGCATTTTTTTATATCAGTTTGAGAAATGATAAAATAACTGTTGATCTAAATCAGAAATCTTGCGAGTTGATAACGTCCGGTGGTCTCTGCTGATCAGTGCTGGCTGATATCATTTATATTGTTTTCAGCTATCTCTAAGAACTACCCTTTAAGTTAAAGGGAACCTCAGGGGGCAGGATAGCACAGTACTATATATTTCTGTTGTCCTGATGTGTGTTACTGACAGAATTGCCAGGCAAATATAAAGAAACCTTGAAAAAAAAACTGATGCAACCATCACCTAAGTAAGGTGCATCATATTATGTTTTCGTGTTCAGATATGGTTTTCTAGCCTAAAGGGTGAAAAGGGAAAGAAAGAAGCTCTTCCAGAGCCTCAAGACAAATTCTATATTCAGCACCCTATTTGGCAGCATGCACAGGACAAGGAGATCATTTTACAAAATAATGTAAAGGCCTATGAAGGGATTATTTCAGAGTTACAAATTCATTATTTTTCAAAGGAGCTGCATATTAAATTAATACATGTTGTACAAAATAATAAACACTGGAATCAGTATTTTCTGGTTATTGTCCTCTCTTACATCTGTAAAGACCATCAACATATCAACTATACCCAATGGGAGTTATCTAAACATTTGCCACTATCATACATGACGTCTGCCTAGACTCAACATTCTCTTGTGCCAACAGTATTCCCCTGGCAACATTTCCTAGTGTAACACACAGTAATACCTAGATCATTACTGCGTTTCTATTTTTTAGCGACCTAAATTGGCCAGAAAGATGCAAACTTTGTAAATTAAAAGATATTTGATCCATTTAATCTTAGAAGCAAATGTTTCGGTGCAGGGACACCTCATTAGTTAAATGTAGCTGGGTTCAGGTGAAAGATGGATGATTGCAGAGATATGCCCATATTGTACAGTTATTTATGGAAATGAAAGTTCACAAAAGTTTAGGAACTTCGGTTCTTCTGGGTAATTTATGAGGCATTAACCCTTCCTCTGCCTTGGATCTGCCTGTCTCCACATCTGCCCAGGAGGTGCTTTAGGAATTCCTTGCATTATTTCACTCCAAAGAAAGTAGTAACAAAGTAAATCCCCATCCATCGTAAAGACCAGGATACAACTGCACGGCACATGTCTCTCTTTTCTCTGTCTAGGATCTGCAATTACTGCTCATCTCTCAATTCCAGATCTCTAGGATGGAATGTGTTAATACATGTCTGCTTGTAAACACTGTCAGTGAAATATAAACACTTATAGGCCGTAAAGCATGTGTTTTTAAGGGAGCCATACATCAGAGGTCAATGACTGGAGAATATACCGCCGTCTTACCTGAAAACGTATTGCAGGGAGCTTTCACTGGGATAGGAGTTGCCCTGAGCAATGAGGGGTACAGAGACCCTGAGACCGGCACCCTCCAGTACAAGATCCTCTGCAGAAAGCCGGGTGTCTCTCCGCTCCACACGGAAGCTGAATGTCAGATTCTGCCCATAACTTAGGCCTTGCTTGCCAAGGAACTTTGCTAAAACAAAAAGTGAAAAAGCAGTGAGAAGTTCTGTGGCTGAACAAAACAGTTTAATGTAATGTTAAATAGCTGAAAAAAAATATCATCTATGACATTGTCCAGTAATTAAAGAATTACTCACAACTTGTCAACCATCATCGAGCATTATTATCAGGCTGTGCACATATCAACTCAATTACTTAAAGGACAAATACTGCATTGTGATTTAAAGAATATATTAAAATACCATCATAACATAAATTTCTTTTTTGCCATTTCACATGTCTTTGTTTTATACTGTTATATTTTTCTCCAAATTCTCATGCAAACAATACTGCCTAGCATAAGTAACAATGACAGGAGTTGGGGCAAACTATAACACTGCTGGAGGTACTGCTCAACTCTCAAACACCCTTGGTAGCACTATAGGTTATCCTGACCCCTGCCCCTATTACCTTTTGTTGGTCAGATTGGTTTTCAATGTGGAAAAAGTATATTTACATGTGATTAGATGGATTTCAATTTGTTGTTAGCCAATATCACATTCTCTGACTGTGCAGAAATCGGTATAGAACCATCTGAAACAATTGTAAATAGAAAAACTAAAAAAAAAAAAACAAACAAAAAAAAAAGGTGCCTAAACCCCTATTATATAATGTTCCAATGTTATCTACTGCTAATAGTGTTAAGGATCCTCCTTTCCAGTCAGCCCATCTATTGTATCAATAAATTAACCTAAGCCTTGTGTTTACTTCTCCCACACATGAAAATTGGCATTCCTAAAGTCTTGTTAAAAAAAGCGCTGCCCTCTTATTAGTCCAATTCAGTCATTCTCAAACTTTTTAACATTGAGGAACCCTTGAACTACCTTTCAGGTCTCAGGGCACCCCTGGTAACGATCACTCTTTCTACAGCTAACAGTACATTAGGATGAAGAGTATGCTGAGCTATAAGAATACATAAAAGAACCAAGAATCTTGAATACTTTGCATACTGGCAGCCACTCTATATGATCATTATTTTCAGTGATCCTAATGAATTTAAAGAACAGAAAATACATTTACACAGTAGAATTGTAATGTTCCCTTTCACTGCTAGTCAGTGTAGTGTCCCCTTACTCTGGTGGGTCAGTGAAATGCTCTTTTACATTGCTGGTCATTGGAGAGGGGGTACCCTTAGATTGGTGGTCATAGTAGCATGGCCACCCTACATTGGCGGTTCTTGGGAGAAGGGCCCTTGCATCCTGATGGTCAGTGGGAAGAATTCTCCTTACATTGGTGAACGTTGGGATGATAGCTCCACACACACAGTCAGCAGGAAGAATGCACAATAAATATGTGGTCAGTGGGAAGAATATCCTCTTTACAGATAGCTAAAAAGATCACCGTGGTCAGTAGTTGCTTATCTGTAAGGCAGAAATGTCTACTCAAGGAATCCCTAGCAATTTCTTGAGGGACCCTAGAGTTCCACAGAACCTTGGTTGAGAAAGGTTGGTCTAAGATGTAAATCGCTATACCCACACTGCCTACAGAGAAAGTTGAAAGCTATACGAAGGAATTTTGGAACTATTTATTATTTGTTTGTTATTCTATGTTAATCTGCCACTATTGGGCCACTTTTTTTTCTACATTTCCAGGCTGTAGAGGATGCCAAACTTGGTAGCACTCTGTAAGGCATTCCTTAGTGCCTGCTGAACTGCTACTTTCCACTAGATGTCAGAGCAAATTTGAGATGTGCCAGTGACATTCATTCATACACTGGTCGGCAAATAGCTTTCTAAAAAAATAAACCACATCCTGATAACTGGACAGCTTTACCCTTACTTCATTTAATTTGTCTGCAGCTACAAATAAAGTTCCAGGCGAGTTCAGGAGATGTTCACGATAACAGAATTCATAATGTATTCATTTCCTGCAGAGAATGTTCAGCTTTCCTATTGAAAGAGCTGAGGGTGTGCTTGTAAAGACTGCATTCTTAAAGGAGCAAAACAAAACTCCATGGTACCATAGGGTTAACTTTACATATCCGTCAATGAATATATAGTTTTACCCATACATTGCTCTCTTCATTCACTTACATGGAGTGTTCATACTCTGCTCTATAGCAGAGTATAAACTCTGCATAGGATTGGACGAGCCTGCAGTTTGAGTCCAAGATCTGCACACTATTTGGAAAGGCAAGATGGCTTGTATCACATAATTTATGGGATACTGATTTATAATGAAGTTTTCCTTTAATGTGCTTCCTGCTTATCTGCATGATTAAATCCACCAAACATAACAAAAGCCTTACGGGTATGTTTACAATCCACCTAACAAGTCCTAAACTACTGAGACAGAATTTACATTCCAAAATAATGAGAGATTCAGTTTACTTACAAGGAGCAATGAAGTAGACGGGGAAGTAGCTCTCGGAGGTGACGGACAGTGAACTAGATTCGGAAACCCAGGTAAGAGGGTACTCGGCACCATCCCTCTGTTGTGCCACCCAGCTGTCTGTGCCTGGAACACAAAGCAGAACACAAATACATCAGTATACAGTTTACTGCCCTTAAAAAATCTGAGCTGAACCTGAGTAATGAAAATCAGTGCAAAAGTGTAACTTTCATTCATAGCAGTTTTCACTTCTTAAAAGAAACTTAGAAATTGAGTGGTGAACTTTCGGCACTCAGACTTTTCGGCATGAATTCTGAAACCTATCTGTATCACTGCATGGCCAAATTATTACAAGTGAATCGAATATTGGCAACAACAGGGTCACCAGGATTATTCTAAAATGTATATACAAACTGTACTGTAGTAGATCAAAGAATATTTCCCAAAGCTTGTATGGTTTGACATTTAGCAAGAATTGAAAAGAAGCTGTAAGAAAATAATGAACTTTGATGGTTCAAAGTATCGGCAAGTCACAAAGGCCAACAGCGGCAATATGTGCAAGTGTGTGGCCGTCTCGTACCCGAGAGCAGAATTAACTACTTCTATTCATACGGGTTTACGAGCATTTTATTGTGTCTGCTTTGTGAATTTACAGGAAGTCAAGCTCTCGGCAGAAGGGTGTCATCTCCGTAGAATTGGGTTAAGAACCGTGAGATTTTCTGTTCTGTTTTTGATGCAATAATGTGATACAGTTAAACAGTAGCAAAGTGTTTCTTGTTTAGAACAGGATCCCACATCCAGACATAATAATCTTAATACAAGTACACAAGATTCTGCCCAAGATAATACCTATCAGATATAGCAAATCTAAGGAGCAATTTGAGTGGGCAAATTCAGGGAAAGACTGCAGTGTAATACAGTACAAAGAGGAGTGTGTAAGCAACAAAGCATCTAGAGCTATAAGCGCAGAGGATATGGTTACTGTGAAACAGTAGCTGGGGGAATCAGGAGGTTTTTAGTAACTGTTCTGCTTATTTTAGAAGGTGAAAGAATTTGCAGCTGTAGAAGATAATTACCGGTCTCAAATGTGGAGATGATGGTGGAGACTGTGAAGCCTTCCGCACTGCTGCAGACAGAAGAGTGGCCATAGCAGAAACAGGGGGTACAGCCTCGAGTATTTGCTGAATCCATATGGAAGAATCCCGGCTTACACCTAAAAGGATATCAAATACATATCAGTGCAATGCACGTCTTCACTGTTTCACATTGACTGGACGCCTGCCTGCATGTTTATTAACCAGTCATTACACCTATAACAGATATAATATTTTAGCCTTGTATAAGTTGCTGGGGACAGAATATACCTATTGACTTGTATTTTCGGGGAACCTGGACATTAAGCTTTCAGCTCAGGCCTCCTGTTCCTTTGTAAGTGTAGTGTTTCAAACTCTGGATTTTGTTTTTAAAACTGACTTTTCGGTTACCACTGAAATAAAAATTCAGTGTGAAGGTTTACACAAGTCTACTGCAAGGAATCAGAATATGCTCTGTCCTCTCCCTCATACTACAGTCCGTAGAACTCAAGGAAAGACTATGATGAGTAGATGTGTTTTAGTTTTGGGCAGCTCAGGAAACATTCACAAATATATTCTGCACTAAGGACATGTAAATAAGCACAGTGGACAGTACCAACTAGTGTTTACCTGCTGGCAGTATTCCATGATTCTAGGTTTGTCTTTCAGTAACATAAACATGTTAGGTATAGGAAAAAATGAAAACTTATTCTGTTGCCCGATGTGAACTTGCATGATTTTATAATGATCAGTGGCAAGACTGTGCATGCGCTGCTATTTCAGGCAACACATGAAGCCAAACAGTTACATACTATATTACAAACAGAGATAAAATGTGCAACTCTCTCTGCTTTTTGTATCAGGAATTACACTTAAAATTCCATGGCTGACTTGCATCTGATTGTTGGTTGTGAGAAACTTCTCAATACCAAAATGTTTTCTTTTACAAAAAGGATTTTGTATCGGAGATACAGAACGAGCCTGCAGTTTATCCGGGGACTCTTCTGCTGCATAACAAAATATGGATCACCAGAATATCAACAAAAGGGACTATGCCTGGATGAAACAATGAAGCAGGTAGGTGTTAATTATATGCATCTTACGTGTTCACGTTCAATTCAGACTGCAGCGTGCCTTTAAGAAACTAATAGGCTGTAATTCTAACTGCACGTTATAGACAAACAGGTGCACAGCACTATTTCTGTAAAGGCAGGGACAAAGAGAATACCATTGCACCTGGAACAAACGCTACTCTCCTCCAAACCAAGAAGAAAGGACTGCACACCCTGGATGTCATGGTGAAAAATGTATTGCATTTCAGCAGCCAACCTAATTTTTTTCCCTGTCCAACAACCACCCACCTCCGATGCATTTCACCCCAATTTACAATTAAGCCCATTGGGCTGAAATATGTCATGGTGTGCAGTTGTTGGTCAGGGACAAAATCATGTTGGCCGCTGGATTGCAATAAAGTAAAGTGACGCAAGCGGTGTGCAGGGCTTTCTTCCAGGTTCAGCGTTTCCCATGGAATGTGGCAGATCCCGGCCGTCACCCTCAGTACTCCTGGACAGCAAGACAGTGGCGTTAATGGTGAACTACCTCTGTGTTCTGCAAACTGCTTTCCCCCACTCTGAGCCACACTGTTACCTTTCACAGTTGAAGCCTTCTACATTATCTTTACAGCTGCAGCGTCCAGTCTCCACATTGCATTCATCTGTACTTCCAGCAGGGTTACAAGCACAGGGTCTGTTGACCAAAAAAAAAAGAAAACTTAGGTTTTCAGGAGAACTTCTTCATTAATAGATCTGTATTCGCAAAAGCAAATAGATGATTTTATTTTTCTTCTTATGAGCTAATTACCTGCATCCAGCCTCAGTGAGTGAATGAAAACCAGGCTGGCATCGATCACATTTCTCCCCCATCACCCCAGGCTTACAGCTACACCGTCCGTAGTTATCACACTGGGTACTGAGAGAGCCTGTGCAGAGTAAAGGGGGTTATGAAAAAAAAATAACGGGCAAGACGATAACAGCAGAAGAAAATGTATGCTCCTAAAGATAAATCTGCCGATGCAGAGTAGGCAGTAGTCAAATGTTCCCAAGTGGCCTAAGCAGTAAAATCTCTCTCTTAGAAAGAGATTGTATATATATATATATATATTTTATTTTTTATGAGTTTGCATGTAAGAGTCTAGCAGACAACACTGGCTCTTCAACCCCCGCGACACAATAGGCTATTGGTTAAAAGAGCCGGCATCATTGCTGGCCAACTAACATAGGCTGACATCTGCAGACATCTCAGTTTTGGCAGGATCGGGCAACAAATGTTGACTATTTATAGACATGGCAAAAAATTGCCAGGTATAAAGGGGCCCAGTCATGTAGCCGCTACAGGCATAATTCAATGGACATGAAGGTTTATATTGATTAAAGTGGAACTTGAGGAAATAAAAAGAAAAATCCCTAGACTGAAAAATACTATTTAAACAATGGGTACCTGAAAGGCAAATGGGAATACAGGATTCCAATGACCCTTTTCACCATCTTCTCTAAGAGAAGCCAAGACAAGGAAAGGACAAATAAGTCCTTTCATGTGCATCAGAGATGAGTCAATTTGATTCAGAGATGGATGTAATGATTAGCCAGCTACTTATCCAACATATACAGAAGAATCTTTTAAAAGGGAGGGGACAACTTCAAGCAGGATCATAAGTAAAGGAGTCTGTCTACTCATTTAAATAGGGGATGCTGGATTATTATCTTTTGGCTGGTAAAAATGGGATAAGATGCCAATGTTACCAAGAGATCATAAGGTTGGTATGTTTTTCAGAAACTATGGTAACCTTAATTTTCAGCCATTTGTTTAAGGTAATCACCTGGTCTGGAAAAGTAGGGAATCAAATGACCTCTAATCATTAACCATTTGTGGCTGAGTTAAGTTACACTTTAAGTTCTAGCTATACACGGCAGAAATTCTATTTATGACATCTATTTTTATGCAAAAGTTCAGTTGTATGTTGCCCTTTGCACAAAGTGAAATTTATTTTAATTTATCACTGTTTAGAAGTAAAACTAAAATATAAAAAACTTATATAATGGACAAATTTCAGTTGCAACAAAGCTAAAAAAAAGAAGAAAAAAAGGAATTTGCTGATAACTTGGAATGATCTTCCTGCAATGGACAAAACCCGGCAGATAATCACAGTGTGCGGTCTCCTTTGTTTACAGGGCAGCAGAATGCTTATTTACATGGCTGTGTAAAGCCTGACACCATCCACTCAGCCCAAGTGTTTACAGAATTGTCTGTTATTTGTTGCAGGCCCAGGGGGAGGCTTTATAGTTGGGGATGTAAAAATAAACTTAGTATTGAGGCGGAAAGCAGGGCTCACCTATGCAAACAAACAACGTGGGAGAACATTTAGATATGGTAAAGTTCACCGATCTGTATTCTAATGTAAAGAATATAGTGCCGCATTGCTTGCCAAGAAAGCCAAGCAAACCCTGATGTTAGCAAGTGAAGCAATCAATGAAGCTGAACTGCTGAGGGCTACAACGTTGTACCGAGCCAACAGCGCTGACTTCAGGCTGCTCATTCAGCGAGGTGTAGGACATGTCTTCCATTTTCCACATAGCATCCTCTGGTCGTGGCCAGGCGTAGTCAGCCAAAAACAAAGCAGGCTATTCTGCCAAAAGCAAGATATACCTGCAGAGGCAAGTTCATAAACTAAAAATGCCTTTATATTTTAATACAGGGTTTAATACAGGGTGCTTTTAATGACACTTTGCAGAACACGGTGAACTTTCTACATAGAAAGCCAAGCCAAAAAAAACGAATTTGTTGCCACCTCTGCTAAGAGAGAGTTGGAGTGGAGAGCGTTACTCCTCTTACTCCTTCAGCTGTGTGCAATTTGTCCCGAGACAAAGGAGGTAGCTAGCAATTTTCAAAATAAAAACAAGCAATGGTGTCCTTCATATTTCGCTTAGTAAATGTTTGCTTTAAGCAATACCACCTTAAAAAATTAAGTATTCATTTCATCAACATCTAGAAGAATTGATCTTTAGGTGATAATTATTACAAGCAAGATTATATATTATGGCTTTTCTCTGTACTATAGTAAAACTAGCAGATTTAACCATTTCAAGTTTAGAAAACCCAACGGAGGAAATTACCTTTCACATCTGTAAATTTAAGTACAAACTCAGAAATACTTTTAATAATCATTTCCATTTTTATGATGATCAATGACTGACAGTTCAAAGACGTTCTCACATACCAACAGGATTGCAGTTACATGCCAGGCAAGGCTCGTCGTTGTTCTGACGATAGTAGTTCTCTCGGCAACGCTCGCAGTTTGGCCCGTCTGTATTGTCTGAGCAGCCAGTACAATGGCCGCCATGCCCAGTAGAACGGTACAGCTCTGGGTCAAAGTAACACTCCTGGGCGCGACCATTACAAGTACAGGCTGAAGAAAAGAAAGAACAGATGTATATAATACATAACTGATTATACATAGTTAATGAAGTAGTGCACTAAAATTATTCACATGTAGCATCACTTACAACATGACATTATGTATAAAATACACAAACTGACGTTTGTACAGTTTTCTTTTTTTAGCTAGCATTGGCATTATAAAGTGTGTTTAAAGTATATGCAAAGCCAAAGTTGTGTTCTTTATTTTGGACAGAGTTGGGAATGGCTAAAAATCTTGAAAGCAACCAAACACACTCTTCTTTCTAACCTTACTAACCTCAACTTCCTGGGCTCTGGCATCCCCCCCCCCTTTCCACCCACCCTGCCATCCCTCAATGCTAAGTAGGTACCACTCTCCAGGAAAAGTTTGCCTGGTATACCAATCTATCTAGCCTAAGGTCTAACTGGATAAACGACTACAGTACTTGCAATCTGGCTTGCAAGTTTGGCCAACTGTTGAGCTGCAGTTAAAGAACCACCAGCTTCAAAAGGGTGAGCTAGAGTCAGACCGCTGTCAGGTGCGTGCGCCTAATCCAACTGGTTTTAGTCCAACTGAAATCAGCACTTGCACCATTCCTTGTCACAAGTGTCCTCTCACAGAACCGCAGTGCCAAGGAAGAAAGGGGCTGTGTCTGACCAGGTATGGTAAACTCAGGCAAAGATTAAAACTGGTCAATTTATTATTCCCCAAAATCCAAAAGAGGGAGTGAATCAAACAAAGGTCTTCTTATAAACTTGAATACTTTTTGAATAGGGGTATCTCATACAAAATCGAATGTAACATGGCTTGTTTCTACAATCCTTATTCAACTACAAGCACGGAGAAGACCCATATTGCCTGATCAGACTAGCCATTGTCATGTAGAGTTCACCATTTTAAAAGTTACAAGAATCTGGAACTTTATCTGTTTAAATCATCTTTTACAAGCACAATGGATGAGCAAGCTTTGGCTTGCGTCACAAATCCTCAGCATTAGATACATTTTGGGGGGAAAAAAAATATTGTGTCCAATAATCCAGACACACTAGTGCGCAGTGACATTGGCAAGTTTGAAGAAACTGATTACTCACGTAGACACTCATTGGCACTCTCAGAAGTTGCCCTCCTCCAGGGCCGGTCATTAAAGAAGGGTGAACATTTTTCACAGTCGACACCAAATGTGTTGTGTTTGCAATTACAAACCAGCTTGCTAACTTCATTGTATATACATTCGCTGGCATGTCCGTTACACTTGCACCTGAAAATGAGAGAGGGGGTATGTAAGGTCCAAGTTAATGTTACAGAAAAAAGTTTAAGAGAAATTCCACCCTACAACGGTTGGATTATACAATGTTTTTACAGAGAACAAAAACTGTTCCTGTCGCTGAGTATCCTGAAAACCACACACACTGTTTGCTGGAACAAATGCAGGAAGACTGCTCTCATGCAAGAGGAGATTGGAGGGGAAAAAGCTTCATATTAAAACACTATGGAGATTCAGCTGCCATGTGTCTTTGTTCTCATTAACCTCTTAACTACCCTTTCAGATTGTGTGAAGGACTATAACCAAGGCACTGCTTTTTACTGAAGTTCTATCATCCTAGCTGCAGGCTGTTCAAAACACCCTGGTCTTCAAAGAGATGGCTAGGACCAATCTTCAAAATTCAATCTAAAAGGGGTTGTGCCAGCTAAAATTTAAGAAACACCCAGGCTAAGAGCAGTGACAAGGTGTTCAGGCTGATCTATCTTTATTTTTGACAGTAGCATTTACACAACACTTCTTTGTAAGGTAATGAATGTTGATCACATACTAGGACTCAATGGGGTCAATTTATCAACACCGAAGCAGACAAAATCTGGAACAGATTTGCACTGCAACAAATAAGCTTCTATTTCTCATTTTCAAATGTTACCTGAGCAAACTGAAGATAGAAGCTGATTGGTTGCCATGGACAACTGCTCCAGAATCGGTCTGCTCCAGTTTTGATAAATTCCCCCCAATGTGTTCAATTGTTGCCAGTTCATTTGTGCTTGTAGAACACATTCCCGTGAACGTTCCCTTAGATGTGTGGGAATACACATATAAAGGCCAGTTCGGTACCAGGACCTATGAATGTCCTGGTTCATGGCCTACCTTAAAAGAGAAGTAAAGCCAAACCTCTTTTGGGCTTTACTTTTCTTTTGGGTCACTGGAGTACATTTACTAGTGAAGTCCTGTGACCCAAAATCAGCAGATAGCAGATCCATGCCACAGCCGAGAGGATCCCTACAATATTTTCGAGAACCACCTCGGCTACCTAAGTGGCAGATGGCTCTGCCTCTCTAGAGCCAGAGCCAGCCGTGCACCCCACTGCAGGGGAGAAGATAGTAACAGCTATTGTTCTACGCTGGGAGAAGGGACTGAGAGCTAAGCGATCAACGGTTACATGATCACTCAACTCTTCAGTGTTAGAGCCTACATATGACAGCTGCAGTGTCCCATGCCGGCTCTAAGCAGCAGGGAGGGTATGTTTTACCCTCCCCATACTTCTCCTTTAACACAAAGTGGAGCTATAACTGGGGAACAGCAAGGGCAGGAGGTAAACACTCCAAAGATGCCCCAAAACCAACTTTTAGCCCTTCACAGGCTTATTCCTAAGGCGGTGAAAAGCGCAATGTCAGTCTATAGTCTAGCAGATTTCAGCTTACTGATAAGAGAATTTCTGAATGGCTGCATTCGGTTAGAGTAGCAGGTAGTTGGTAAGGAATGTAGATTTCTGATTGGATGATATGGCTAAATGAACACTGTTGTATTTGCATGCCCTTAAAACGACCCCATGGTGACCTTTTCAGTGCACCAGTGATGGCAAGAAGGGACTTGCATGTCTTGACAAATGTGCTCAAATACCTTGTAAAGTGAATCGGCAACCTCAAAGCCCAGGCTGACCTGATATACAAATAGAAATGAGAGGAACTACATTCATGCTGTGACCTGCCTCCTGAGCCTAAACTACTATACCACAACTATGATGGAGTGCCTTATAGTCCAATAGGATGATGAGGGAGGGGGTGGAGCCAAGCATAATTACTGTGGATCCACAGGTGCCGATACCGAGTATTTGGGCGAGTACATCCCTCTAAAGGTGATGAGGAACATCTCTGAATATCATTCTGGACAGTACACGAAGCATCATCAAAACTTTGTTTTATTTAGAGTGACAGCATATATTGATATCTGTGAGAACAAAAAATATATAATTTTCATGTGAAGTACAGTCTAGTAGGCCAGGTCACGCTGCCTGTAAATGGCAATGGAATGAATGCAGGCTTCCAGATGAAGGAAGTGCAGTCGGCTTCTACAAGAGAAGTTCAAGCTGCTGCTAGACAACTTGCCCTGTTAAAGTATTGGGACCACCCACATCAAGAGGAGCCTGACCCTGGTCCAAAATAGCCTCCTGACAGAGAAGACTCTTTGCAAACATAGGCATCCACAGCTGAAATACACTATAGAAAGATCAAAATATTAAACGTTATATTAGGGAAACTGCAAAAGAAATTGGTTTGTTGCTTACCTGCCTCCTACAGCAAAGTCAGAGATGGCATAGTAATAGGATTTCAGCACCTTGGGATCGCTGAACACCTCATCTCCAAACGTATTGAGCCTGTTCAGAGTAACACGGATGTCTGTGGCTGTTACCCAATCCTGCACACACAAAAGATTAAGCAGTGAGAGGTCTGATCAGTTATGTTCATGTTGGTGGACATACGAAAACCAGGGCAGATAAATTAGAGGTTTTTAGTTGGCACAATGCTGGAGAAAAAAATATTCTGGTTTACTTGGTAAGGCAGTACAGGGATGACAAATTAATTCACCCAAAGCAACCAGATTTCATTTTACTAGTTTACTATGGCTTACAGTACAACTGGGGCTGAAGCAAACCAATAAACCTACAACTTGCATTGTAAAACGGGTATCTCCATAAGGGCTCGTTCACGCCATATGCAGTGCATTCCAGTCCGATTCTGGCCGAAACGCACTGCGGCCAGCTCACTTTTTTTGGTACCGTAGCCACCCCCTCCGGCCACAATGCTGTAAGCACTATTTTGATCGGACCAGACCGCAGGCACAATGTGCCTTGCGATTCGTTGCGGGTGATCGCATTGCGTCCGGAGGGCGTGGCTACAGTGCCATTCACTTCTATGGCCCACCACGCCCCCTCCTGCCCCACTAAAAAAAGTGAGCTGGCCGCAATGCGAGGCAGTGCGTTCTGGCCAGAATTGGGCCGGAACGCATTGCAACTGGTGTGAACGGGCCCTTCGCCTGCATATATCCTGTGAGTCCTGAAAAGTGAGAGATCTCCCAACATGCAACTAGCTTCTGTGATTGGCAACCCTAACTCAACACCTGCTTCCTACATTTTAGTATTGGATTGTGAGGTTGTTCATTATAATAATGAACAACATGGTGAGGCGAAGAAAGTGAGCGGAACTGGTTATCACAAAAGCCAATTGCAAGTCAGAGCATTCAGGGCTCAGGGAACGCACTACAGAGGAACAAGCCAGACATGCAAGCACCTGAAAGTGCCTGTTCTCAAATTTAAGTGGTAGTTTAAAAAAAAAAAAAAATCAAAACCATTTAAAAAAAATGGCTGTTTAAGTGTGTTTCCATCTGCCCCCTTCCGTACTATCAAGTTGTTTCTTGAAAAAGTGCAAGTTTCCTCTAACAGCTCTCCGCATGGTGCATCCCTCTATGTATGATGATTAATAATAACATAGACATGTCAGGTGTGAAATGCTGACACTGTGAAATACTTACACTTGTAGAGCATTCACTTCCTGCTTTGAAAGTGCAAAATGACTTCAGTTTGCCAAAGCAATGCACACTGGGATTGCATCGTCATTTAAATGATGATGATATAAGTGCCAAAAGCATTGCATCCTGGGAAGGTTACATCAGCAGATTATTGTTGGGAAATCTCATCTGTAATGTCAGGGAAAGGCATTTTCCTCCCCTGAGATGATGGGCATGGGCACATGTCCTAGTCACATGTCTAGTCACATGTGTCAGAGTTTAAGGAAGTAAATGGGGAGCTAGTAATCTGCCCTTAGTAAACATGGCCACTGCCAGAAGACTTGGAATGAAAAGAGAAATTAGGTAGAAATTAGGTAATTAGGTAAGAATACAAAGCCGGCAATTATCTAGAAGTATCTGTTTGTAGATGTCGGTACTAAACATATTTAAAAGGTGTGTTTGTTATTTTAACGATATGGGTAAAGGTCCGCTTTAAGCAAACACAAAACGAGCCAGAAAAAGAGAAGTTCACAGATTTGCCCCACAGAGGCAGCAGTCTAATGTCAATGACATCTACAGCCGGTTGAGAAACTATATGTTGCTTTAACACTCACAAATGTCTTAAAGCAAGATCATTTTAAACTATAGAAAAGTATTTTTCAGAGCCTGTACTGTGGCACACAAATGATAAAAAAATAAAAGCTATATCAAGCCAGGGCACACACCTGGAATGAAGTCCACCATCAAAATTGCATACTATTCATCATTTGTTTGTTTTACATGCAAACTTTACTAAACTTTCACCATTTAATGAATGGGCACACATCTATTTATTTGAAATTCACTTGTAAATAGTAAATTTTTTTATTTTTTTTTTTAAATAAAAAAAAAATTCCAACCAGCTTACATACCTGCAATACAGGGCTGTTATCAAAGTTGTAAGCACTCGGCCGGCCCTCTAAAGTAGAGAAAGCCACGTTGCCACCAGTCAGTGGGGAAATGTCGCTGAATTCATCAGTGCATTGTGCCTGCTGCTCATCTTCTCCAGTACGAATGAAGCCTCGGTTAAGTTTTTGGTAGGTGTTCTCGCAAGAGCCACTGTAATACTGGTAGGGAATCCAAGGGCCATCTTCTCGCGTCCTCTTGTAAAGAGTAAAGCTCTCCGGCCGGCTTGTGTGGAACTTCAGACGCACATAGGTGATATCGAAGGCCTTCCCTAAACAAAGGAAGAGAGGAGATGGAGTTACTACAAGAAGGATATGAAATACAAATAGTACTTTTTCTCAAAACAAAATTCATACAATTTGACAGGGACCATCTCCTAATTCAGCATCATTGCATCATGGAGACCAAAAAGAAAGTCTTCAAATCAGTTAAGCAGAGAACACTAGGTCAGCAGTTGATAGTGTGCATACATATGGGTTCCAGAGAACTGCAAACTGGTACCAGTGTATATTCATTTCATTCTATAAAGCACCTAAAAGCTGGAGCAAATTTAAAATATTGTTGTCGTCCTAGGAAACAGTTTACTTCATCTTGTAGCCTGCATTGAATAAAGTTTTCACACACAAGCATTACTGCTCTGGTGGATTTACTCATACTACATTATACAAAGATGTTCATTTGTAGCACCAAGAGGCCTGTACAATTTGGTGTTTAAATAATAAGTGTTTATTAAGGGTTTTAACACAATCAACATGAAAGACATGTAAACATGGAGATCAATGTAATACAGAGTCACGTAAATACACTCCATCGCGAGAGATAGGCATATGCATGTATATAGATACATTCAGCTCCTAAAACACGGGGATACACAGATTGAATCAAGTATTGTATGGTAGGTGTCATATTTCAGTAACAGCTATGTATGAACAATTTGGTGTTTAAACATAAATAAAGCCCCCAGCCATATGCCCCAATTATAAACCTCACCCAAGCCCTATGTCTTAAAGCTGAACTCCAGGATAAATAAAAAAAATGCCCCTTTAAGTGGGGCTTTTCCTGCATTGTAAGTGATCCTCTGAGGGCCCACCCACAACCCAGAGCGTCAGAGAAAGGACAAAAGTGCAAGTGGCTTTAAAGGAGAATTATGAGGCGAGTGATTTTCACTCAGCCTCATAACCTGAGCAGACCTTTGACAATAAAACGGTCACAGGTCGGCTCAGTAGATCGGGAAGTGAGCGAACACATACTGTTGCTCGCTCACTTCTCGATCTATCGCTGCAGAGAGCCGTGACTGTCACTCACGGCTCCCTGCAGGGATTCCCCCCTCCCTGTCCGATCCTCCAGTGCCGACTGGCGAAACGGACAGGGAGGGGGCCGGCACACCTGGCTCTGCCTTTGGATAGGCAGAGCCAGCTGGCAATCCCGTAGCTGGGTGGATCCAGACAGTATTGTCGAGATCCGTCCCGGCGTCTCAGTATACCGCGAGCCGTAGCTTGCGGTATGCTGAGCTTTGGGTAACGGGAGAACGCTAGTTTGTGTTCTCCCGTGACCCTTAGGAGAACTATGGGGAAAAGCCCCGATAGTTTTGTAACATTTACTGGAAACTATTCTTCCAAAGACTTAAAATTAGGGATGCACCTATACCATTTTTTTGGTATCGAGTACAAGTACTGATATTTTTTTTCCGGTACTCGCCGATACCGAATACTGATACCGGAAGCCCCATTACGGAAGCCAATGGAGTGTAATGACTTGCTGCCCAGCTTCCTGATTAGCCACCTCCATGCTCCCTCGTCACCAGGTGTCGGGAATAGTATCGGAGCATTTGGATGAGGACGAGTACCCAAATACTCGGTATAGGCACAGATACTAGTATCGGTATATCCCTACTTAAAAATGGAACAATATTTTTTTTTGACAACCAATTTTTTCAGTAATTACAAGGAATCACCATGGATCCGGATGGCACCCTGCTGCGCCAATTATAAATATGTCTATTTATGAACAATTTCTAGGAAAATCTATATACAGCAATATTTTGTGTGTTTTACAGCACATCTGTTTATGGTGGTGTTACACTGATTAAGTCGTATTTATGTACTGGAGTCCTGAGAATCTACTTCTACAATTTGAAGAATATTCAGATAACTGTGCTGCCACTATTTGATTCACCTTTGAGTACATTCGGGAATTTGTGCATTTTTTCTGATATACTATTCACACAGGACCAAGTGCCAGAACAATTTATATGCTTGAGAATTTTGTGAAACTGGGCTATCCCCATAATGAGTTAGAGATCTCTCTTAATAGGGCCTAGTCTATTGATCAACCATCCTTCTTGAGTTTCAGCAGAAGACAAATCTCCAAACAAATTCCTGTGGCTTTGACTTTTTCTAAACAGACTTCACAAATACAACTGATTAGGAAACACTGGAATGTACTGTCGAGTGATCCAAAACTTGAGGAAGTATTAAGGGAGCCTCCCATTTGAGGGAACAAACGTGCACATAGCATTATAAACGCATTCATGCTGAAATACCTTGTGATTCTACTTCAAATACTTGTACTACTACAAAGGGCATTGTGGGAGTGGGGTTGAGGATACGTTTGGGTGGTTTGGAGTCAAAGGGAGAGCCACAAATGCGGTGTATGTATTTATAGAACACAGGTTGAATTTTGCATCAGGTGGAACTTGACTTGAGAAGGGGGTTCATGCCCTGAAATGTCATCTACTTCCACCTCGGTCTGTACCTGGTGTCCTCCTTATGATATTGGTATCTGTAGGTCTTGTTATTCTTCTCTATGGAGCTTATGCTTCCCAGTTACACTGCATCATTCATTTATAGCTTACATTAGTTGTTTTATGTATAGTGGAATCAGGTATTCTGGGATGGCTCAGATGTATTTAGCTGTATTGCTATTTACTATCTGACATTATGCCAACAGAACTATTGAAACCTTATTTTGGTGTGCTAGCGTTATTATTCTTATATACTGGATGGCTGGGAGACTCCGAATGAAGCTTTTGCCACCATGCCTCTCAATGTAATATAGTAGGTTATGGAATGCATTTAGAGCATTTTTCGTCTGGAGATCTACTTTTCAAATGACGAGCTCATTGAGATCTACCAACGAAAAAACACCTGCATTCAGGGGCGGGAGGGGGCATAGGCTGCGCAGGCAGGCCCCTCGCCCACAGTGCGATCGCCTAATTTAGAGTGTGCAGACTTTTTCTAATTATGATTCTTTTCTACGTTTTGGATATAGTAGTGAAGTTAGACCCACAGTTATCTGAACAAAATGTGACGTGAAATTCAAAATTGTAATAGTTAGCGCCACACAGGACATGAGGGCAAATCTTCCAATGGGGACACCTGTTCCAGGGACAACTCTCTAAAATCATATACTTTGGGGATCTTTCCTCTCAATTTCTTTTGAATCTCTCTGACAGGAAATTAATTTTCCCTAACCAAGAGGCTTAGTTAAAACATAAATTAAAGAGAATGTAAACCCTTACAATGAACATAATATGCTCCTTTTCAACCTCTCTTAAAAAACTGGACGTATTTTGGTAAATCTGGTTAATAAGACCTCTCCTGTGCCTTTACTTCCTGTGTTATCTGAGTCTGTTAAGCCCTCCTAGTTGTCATCTTGGACTGCAGAATCATTAGTGTCTATGTTGCAGATATGCAAGAATGGGAGTGATTCAGAAGTTTAGCAAAACAGACTGGGCAGGCCGACACCACTCAGTCCACAAAAATGATGCGTCTTACCTCTTAAACTTAGACTTAAAGTGATATTAAAGCCAAAAATGTTTTTTTTTTTTATCTCTCCTTTAAGGAGACCCTCCTTTGCTGGATGATGGTGCGTTTTTTCTTTAAAAGTACTTAGTTCCTCGTTTTCTAGTGTGTCCCCGCCATGTTCTCCCCCCCACCCCCGCACGGGGGCCACCATTGTTCTAATGGAGGCACCGGTGCGTGCTCGTGCCTGCGGTGTGCGTCCAGTAGTCCACAGATGCCCCTTCCCTCTTTGATTGATGGCAGAAGGAGCCTATGGCTCCTCTGCCATCAGTATCCTCCCCACAACCCGGACGTTTGGGGTACGGAGGATCACTTCGGGACCGGCGGCGGGGACGAGCGCAGCTGACAGGTAAGTGTGAAGGTAAAAAACGCCCTGACCTTAATGCTACTTTAAGATCCAAGTGCATGCATTGCAGAAATGTACTCCACTTTTCTGCTTTTTTAGCTTTGGGTTACTGGCAGAAGGTTCAGTAATCTCCCTGGAACACCAGCCGCAAGACTTTTACTAGAGTTAAGCAGAATCAGGAGTAACTAGTCCCAATGGCAAAGTAGGATCTGGGAACCTCAGCAACGAAGGAGATCTCTCCACTGGAGTCAGTGACAAATAGAAAACGACAATGGGTGATTCAGCCTGGTGGCATCCACCCATAGCAGACATTACTTTTTCGGCACAAACTGCCTTTACAAGTATCCTTTAAAAGCATGCCATAAAATACATTTGGCAGCTTATGAATCTCAAATCTTTTAAAGCCTGTTTTGTGATGCACCATCTCCAAGACAGAAGAAATGTAGTGTAATGAATAACATTTGAAGGAGCGGAAGAGGGTTGTTAAAACCGAGACAGAAACACCTTCCTGCACATGAAAACAGGAGTTCTAGAAAATGAGGCAAGCAGGAAAATTGAATATTAAAAAATCTCAAATCTTTTAAAGCCTGTTTTGTGATGCACCATCTCCAAGACAGAAGAAATGTAGTGTAATGAATAACATTTGAAGGAGCGGAAGAGGGTTGTTAAAACCGAGACAGAAACACCTTCCTGCACATGAAAACAGGAGTTCTAGAAAATGAGGCAAGCAGGAAAATTGCATATGAAAGACACA